ACCAACGATATGGGTCCGCAACACGAACTCCATGCAAATCCTCAACCAAAGTCTCATCTCTACGTACCTCTGGATAAGTCCAAACCATTCCTTTTTCGAAACCAAAGTACCCGATGCTTAGAATATGTGTGTATGAAGGAAGTTCTAAAATTCGTTGGTTTTAAACAAACAAAATTAAACCGGGTAAGACCAGGGTCCAAAAGCGTCGGCATCCAAAGCAGCGATGTGTTGATTAAGGTTAATTTTTAACGTATACAAAGATAACATTGAATACACTTTCGTTAAGCTTAGAAGCTGACTAAATGATTTCTTGAATTATCACGTGCATAAAATTTATACTCCATAGCGATATTATATCTTGCACATTTACATAAAAAATTGTTAAATGATAGATAAATTGGTGTAGAAATTGCCCCTCTATTGGAATCAATGTTAAACCTTTCCGCGTTAAATCATTACAAAACAATTAGATGAATTAGATGGTTGTATTAATATCAAATTTTAAATTAAGGAAACTTTTGTGCGAACAAGTCCACCTCGAAAATTTTTGATAGGTTGTGGAGAACGTTGTAATCTTCGGAATCCTTCATGGATATGGGCTGGTTGCAAAGGAGTCTGAGGCGAAGGAGGCTGCGCAAATAGAAAAGAATCCGGCCTATCCTCATCATCTGGATCTGCTACAACACGTGAACGTTTAAGGCTCTTTGGATATAATTTGTTTTCCTCCTTGGTGTCTAAATCTTGCTTTACACGTAAAGCATTTTCAGTCAAAACGCTAACCATCTCAAAAGTCAAGAATCCAAGAATATCAATAATATCATCGTTTGGTCTCATATCAATATATGCGGACATATTTGCCCATTCTCGAAATCTTTTTGCCTTTCGATAGGTAAATGAGGCTTGACGACATTCCGAATAGTGAACATATTCTTCACGAGTCATTGCTCGCGTAATTTCATCAGCGTCCTGTTTTAAGATTTCAACATAATATTAAAATATAATAATTTTACAGAAACAATTCAAATAATTAGAACAAGCGACTATACTTTTAATCGTTGTATAGAGTCATTATACGCCTCTAGTTCTTCGTCATCTTCTTCATCGGAATTTGCATTCAAGAATTCAGAGAAAGAGTTTACCAATTCCCATGATAATTTTACTTTCATCTTACGTGCCTTTGCTAATTTATCTAGATGATAATCAGAAAGTAAGATTATGATAATATATTAAAGCATTTACAATTCACTATGATTATTATTAATAATACCTGCATTAGGCTCTTCAAGGATTTCTTCAGCTGCATCCTGACCGCCAGACTCTTTTGTATTCTTTCTGACGTCTTTCCAACTGAGATAGGTACGTAATCGATTAACTTTTGCACGATCATGTCTTATCAAAAAGATTAAATCTTCAGCGCTCATGTATCTTGAACCACGCTTTGCAGCTTGGGCGGCTGCTTGAATTATCTGTTTTTTCAAAAATTATGGTCAATCTCGATATATTGATGATTAGTTAAGTATATTATTTAAACCAAAAATATGCGCCATACAATTTCGATAACTTGTGACCTCACGATATCTTCTACAAGCATAACAGTTTCAGGATTTGGCTCGGACACTTCCCCAAAGACAAACATCATTTGTTGAATTTCGGAAGAATACCGATATTTCGATTTTTCCTTTTCCTATTAGCATTATTATTTATTCATTCACATTCTTTTCAAGGTTAAAAAATCCGAAAACATTTTTTTTAATATCTTGATAATGCGCTAAATAAAATAAACGAATTAATACTCACAGGTGGTGGCGCTTTGCTCTTGTCATTTTTTTCCAAAGCGGTTTTTTGCGCAGCATTATTTGTTGTGGTTGTGGAAGCGATATTACTCATATTAACAAACGATAAAAGCACACAGTGAAAACCTTATATGCATTACAGCTCTTTAGTATATGTTATTTCCACTTAGTTTAGGTTATTTCCTTATTGGGATACGCGTGATTTAGAGATTTGGCGTAGTTTGAGGCACGCACATTTTGTGAACCACGCGTACGAGATAGAGTTGAACCAAAAAGGCTAGTATAATAACATTTATATTTTTATACTTATTAATCAAAGCATTTACCTTATTTATATTTTTATTAATAGCGACAAATTGCCAGAACAAGAACGAAATGTCGAGCTAATTCAAGAGAATATCAAATTTATATTAACCAGATGTGTAAGTAAATATCAGATTTTTGAATTATTGGCGTTTCTCTGTTAATCAAAAATTATTATATTCAGAGAACCAAGATAGTAGATGGGTGCTCAGAAACTATTATGGTTGCATATACCGAAATTGTTCATCATCTGGAACGGTTAGATCTGGCATCAATTAAACCAGAAGTTCCTATAGCATCTGGCATTATTGATCTTTCAGGAAATGAAGACCCGTTTGTAAATTTATTATCAAATAGGTCTAAGCAGATTTTAATGCAACGTAACGTTTATTATCGATGAGTTATCAGGACAAATAGGAACTATGGTTGATGATTTTGTGAGCACATATAGAGATTTGAGACCCGATTTTGATCCGGTGTTCATGCGACCAATAACTTTCCCCCAGGAAGAAATGCCTGTTGAGTCCAGACGTATAGTGATGACGGCTTTTGACTTACTAGAAGGATTGTACGTTTTTGTTATTAAATTATAATTGATATTTGCATTTTTTAATAATATTTCTATTTCTAAGGCGACATATTTGGAGCTTGAGACCGTTATTAATCGAAGATGAATACAGTGAGAATGCCTATGTAATTTACGCTATATCAAAGGTTTTAGATCCGATTTTTACTGGCCTCTCAAACGCGCATGGTGATGTATATAATTATTTTTTTTTATAACACTCTATTTTCGAATGTCAACATTAGTTTTAATCTTTAACCATATATAGGTCTGAGCAGACCAGTAAGTCATCACAATCCAGAATGGATCGAATGGAGGCCACTAACTCTGGAAAAAAACCGGTTCTACAGGTTTTGTTAAAGCTTGATATGGTTGAAAATGAACTTGTACTCGCCGAAGTTTCACGATTACATCCTCAACAAGACAAAGAAATTATCGACTGGAAAAAATTGGTACGTATCTATAAAGATTGTTTTGACGAGAGATATAACTTTTTCTTTGATGGAAGGGATGATACCACCAATACAGCTAGATCGATAAACATCAAGCTAGGAAAAGTTCCTATTTTAGGTGTCCAAGTAATACGAGATCGTGTGATAATTTCTGCACTAAACCTATTTAATAGTGATTTTTATCGTGTTTATCGGGTCTGTGAGTTGGTTATACCATTACGTATTTCCTCTCGTCAAATCATTGAAGAATTTTTAAAAAAGCTCTTGAATTTTGAGGTCCTTGGTGGAAAAAATTATCACAATGACGGTGGATGTGAAGGATGAAGTTAATCTTTTACCAGTTCTTGAAGATCGAACTCCATCATCAGCAATGATGTCAGCTACATATTCCCCACCAAGTTCACCGTCTTCCCTTAGACCATCTTCACCATCAACATATAGATCATCTTCATCATCATCATTCAGACCATCTTCACCAAAGCCACGAAAAAGAAAGTCTACACAATTTGATCAAAATTAGATTTTTTTTATTTTTATTTTTACTGCATTAATAAAGTGGCCCTAGTGGCTCGATTTCACATATATACAGATAATCGTGTTTACTTTGTGTATTTCAGATTTATGCATTATGTACCTCTGATTATAGTTTTGCTTATGTAGGGAATGTTGATTTTGAATATATTTGTTTCCTGAATAAAGAAATGACAGATACACAATTCACAATTGATTCATTAGGAGAATTAAACTCCACGCTTGAAACTGGGATAGATGAGCTTAAAAAGGAGAATACTGAAATCTTAACTAGAATTATAAAATTTAGAAGACTAAATGCATTCAGATAGCTAAAGAAATTCTTTCCTAAATGGGTTAGAACTTGATGCTTTCTTTCAAAACACCAAATTGCATTAGAGGTACAAGGGGCTCATAATATTAGTTGGTATAAAGATGTTAAAAAACTCGAGGATATTGTTAATCGTGATCGGATGTATATGCCAAGTTTCTTCTAGAAGATTCCGGAAAGGATGCAAAAAATTAAAAGATTCGTTAATCAAGCGATTAAAATTTTGACCTATAATCAATATATAATATATAAAACTTAATATCTAAATTGGCGACTGGTGTTTAATATATTTGCATATATATTTTTTTTTGCTACTTTATCTATTAGCATCTGTTAACTTTATTATACAACACGAAGATCTCAATAGACAGCAGGCATGCGCGAAACAACCAGATCAATTTAAGGTACATTTATTATGAAGGCCCACATATATTTATTCCGGAACATCTTTGAGAATTGGGTAAACTCAAAACTTTTAAATTGATTACGTTGATTCACATGTATCAAAAAAAATGATTGTTATGTAAGCGATCTTGTACTTTTTATTTTCTTGCAGTACAAAAAAATTGTTGATTAGCTACATCTTAAATTTTTAGTTTACGAACGGCAAATATCGATTTGATCATTAGCTGAGTTCACTTCGATATTATTTTTTTTGTTCAAGATTTTTCACTGTATGTCATTCTTTTCCACCTGACGTCTAATCTTTTCTACATCCCCCCCCCCCCAATATTTTGAAATTCACTACGAATTGCCATATTAAGATTATCATTGAGCATTTCATAGAGATTTCCAATGAGACCTTTGCTGAATTTATTCATGTCGAATTCCGCGACGAACGGTGGAGTCACTATTGTAGGCTTGTTAAGTTCATTTTTAAGTCTTCGCCTATATCACGGAATACAAAGTGAATGTAAATTATCAAATGAGATAGAGCAAAGTCATAAGCATAATAGTATTAATATTTACTTTGGTCGTTGAGTTCCTTAGCGAGATCTGCAGGACGCATCGCCGGACCCATTTCTAATCCGCAATCTCTAAAATCTGATAGAAACTTGGCATACAACTTTAAATTTTGTGGAGTAAAATGCTAATGAAGAGGATCCCGTACTTTTAGTAGAATATTAGTTATTGATCATTTCATATCACAATATGATTGGATGATTAATAGTTATATCTTATTAAACATTAGCTTAAAAGAAAATTATTGATAAATATTTAATGATCATAACAAAGCTATCATAGCAAAGTTAGCAAAATTATTATAGCTAAACTAGTAATGTTATCATGACAAACTTAGTATTATGATACTATCTAAATTAGTATTTAGATCATAATAAAAGTAATATAAGTAATATAACTAAAGTATTATTTATGGAATTTTTAAAAATACATAAAAATAATATATCTTAATGAAAAAAACAATTATTAAACTTGTATTAATTAAATTATTAAGAAAATTCTAAGAAATATCTCTTATAAAATAAATTTTTAATTAATAATTTATTAATTTATTTAATCTTATTAATAAATTATTTATTTAAAATATACTTGAAAATTATATTATATTTTAGTTAATCATATATTAAATACTTTTATTATTATTATTATACATATCCTTACAGTATATTATCAAAAATTAGTTATGCAAAATACTGGTCCAAAGTTTAAAAAGCCAATTTTATTGGTATTATATATAATAACACAAACATAATAATAAACAAAAAATAATTTTATTTTTTTTTTATATAATATAGAAAGAAGTTGATAAATGAACAAAGAAAGCAAATAATTAATACTTATCTTACTAATATTAAAAATCTAAATCTTGTACTTAAATTCAATATTTCTCAAGCAATAGTATATGATATCATTAAATAATATAAAGAAATCAATTTCTCATATCCTGAAAAATATTCTGATTGATCAAAAACTCTAATTAATAATGAAAAGTATATATTAAAATAAGTTATTCTAAAAAATTAGTTTTTTTCATCTGATAAAATTATAAATAAATTAAATAACAAATTCAACATTACTTATCATGCTAATATTATTCACAAATATATGAATAAAATAGAATTTAGAAGCTATATTCCAAGAAAAAAATTTCTTTTGATATTAAATTAAGAACTTTGTCAATTAAATTAATATTAGAAAAAATATAATTAAGAAGTGTAATAAAAAAATATAATCTGGCCTGATAAGTTTAAATTCATACTTTTCAAATTAGATAGTCAGATAAAAGTATAATGAAAATTTGATAAAGCTTATTATCAAGAATATATTAAATTTATTATTAAATTTGATAAAGAATTAATAATATTTTAGAGATATTTTAGTTAAAATAGGATTAATTCTTTGGTATCAATAGAAAAAATCATAAATTTAGATATTATTATGATATAAACTTTTAGTAGAATATTAGTTAATTATATATTATTGATCACTTTATATTATAATATGATTAGATAAATAATTATTTATATCTTATTGAATATTAGCTTTAGAGAATATTACTTGTAGATATTTTTAAAAGATTTTGCAAGTACAATAATCATAACAAAATTATCATAGCAAAGTTAATAATAATACTATCATAATAAAATCAACATTATAATACTAGCTAAAGTAATATTTAGATTATAGCAAAACTAGCATAAATATTATAACAAAAGTATCATTTGTATAACTCTAAAATATATAAAAGTGATATATCTTAGCTAGTAAATTTGGATAATCAGATAATCAACAGCTTAATTAATAAGTTAATTAGTTAATTATTTAATTTAGTTTGAGTTTTATGAGTTTAGTTCTCAATTCACATTTAAGTAGATTTTAGTTTTAAAAGAATTCTAAAAAATCTCTCTTGTAGAATAAATCTTAATTAAAATCTATTATTTTATCTTATTAATAAATTAAATATTATATTTATCTTGAAAGTATATTTTAAAATTGAATTATATTCTAGCTAGTTATAACAAAAATATTATCATTATCTATCTTTAAATAAAACTTAAAATAATAGTATTTATATTCTTGTTAATAAATTTTTAAAGACTCTTTCAAATATTACTATAAGTACGTGATTACTTTTATCATGTGCTTTTGTAATATTAGGATTAGTACTCACCCTCATATCAAACTTATATCAAAAAGATAATAACTTTTTGATACCTTTTCTGTGGAAAAATAATTCTATAGAATTATCAAATTCAACTCAGATCTAGATAAAGAATTCTCTGTAAATTAAATTAAAATTAATAAAGAATCAAAAGAAATTGAAGAAATAATTTTGCAATATATTAAAGTGGATCCAACTAAAGAAATCAAAGTAAAAAGAGAAAGACTCTTTATTTAATTATTTACTGAGTTATATCTTGAAGATTATACTAAATCTGATCATCAAATTATCTAGAAAAAATTTTATTATTTTCATCAAAAAGTAATATATAGTAAAATTCAGATCAAGACAAAAAAAGATTTTGTAACTTTAATTAAAGAAGAAACTAATCTATTAACAAAATAAATACAAACATATCTCTATAAACTGCAACAAGAAATATTTGAATTCAAAGATAAAAGAAGTAAATATCTAACAGAACAAAGATAAAAAAAACAACAAGATATATCTGTAAAAATATCTAATCTGAGTCAATCAAAATCAAATAAAGAATTATTAAATACTTTATAATAGTTTAGAAAATATAATTCAGATACTCTTGAACAAATATTAGTATAGTCATTACTTAATAAATATTTAGAAATATAATTAAATACTCAAGATATATCTGTCACTTCAATATTTATCTTCTTAATACTACTTGAAGAAGAAGAAATAAATAGAAATAAGAAGAATAAAATATTATTTTTATCAACTATTGATAATAAGTTTAAAGATTTGATGTATAGAATTGAAATACTTACTATAACTCTAGGAAGACTAAAGAAAGCCAATTATATCAAAATTATAGAATTCTATAATGATACTCAAGATCTAATTGATTGACTTCAAGATTTTGAGAATGCTTATATCACTAATAGTATTAGTAATAACAGAAAAATTCAGATAGTAAAAACTTATCTGAAAGACTCAGCTATCACATAGTTTACTAATGAAAAGTTACATAATTCAGAATAGCCAGGAATCTGAGATTATAATGATAAAGCTAATCAAAATACAAAAGAAGCTTTATTTATATATCAATTTGAAAAGTACTTTAAAAATTATGACCAATTGTATAAATAATAATAATAGTTAAAATAAAAAAATAATTACCTAATGAAAATATAGAATAATATACTGCAGCTATCAGAAAACTAATTAGAAGAGTAGATCTAATCAATATCTATCCAAATTATTTATGTGTATTTTACTTTATAAATAGACTCAGATCAGAAATTAAATTCTTTATAAATTCAATCCATCCTGTAATATTAGAAAAAGTAATTAATATAGTAATTATCTATAATTCTAACTTTC